GCTTTAATTAAGCAGCATGTAGTAGATATACAATTCAACCTCCTTACGAACTCCCCAATCTTTATTGTCAGTGAACCCAACAGTTACTCTGCCTCTCCTATATCATTTGGATTATTCTGGAAGTACCACCAGAGGGCCTTTACTCTGGCGTGATGTCACATCCTCCCCTCAGCTGTCCTTAAAATACACAAAGATGCCCTAGTCCAGGGGTAGGCAACCTTGGCTCTTTTATGACTCATGGACTTCAACTCCCAGAATTCCTGAGCCAGCCATGCAGAGGAGAAAGAGAGAGGTTCCCAAGCAGAGCCATACTGGCTCAGGAATTCTGGGAGTTGAAGTCCATGAGTCATAAAAGAGCCAAGGTTGCCTACCTCTGCCCTAGTCAGACAATGTGCCCATGACTCCAGACATGTAGAAACAACAGAATATGGACTTGTCTAATACCTGTACTAAAAAGGCAGTTGACATCTCGCTTTACTGCATAAATAGCCGGGATGCACAGGACAACTCCACACCTCCCTGCTGCTTTCAGATACCAAGCTTGCTACAACATATGCACAGCAACACTAAAAATCTGTCAAAAGGTGAGCTGTGCTATGAACCAGCTCATTTGAATTATTTGTATTGTGGGTTTACCATGTTCCCCTATAGTACCTACTGCTTCTACCCCTCTTTTAGATGCTTTTTAGGTATTTTTGATATTTGTTTATATATTCAGCTTTCTATATGTAATTTTCTATTCTAATGTATCTTTTGTGCTTTTTAATTTTTTGTGTCCTGCCCTCTTTATGCTGATCTTTGACTGTAATAAAAATTGATTTCATTTGACTTGAGTTAGAAGAATCTGATTCAGATTCTTAAGGCTGGATTGTTGTCAAAGGATATGTGTATATGGATTCAAAATTCCAGTCTTTCCCTTTACCACAATTGCAGGCTTTTTCAGACTGGAACGTGTTGAGTAGCTGTGGAGCCTTGTGTCAGGGCAAAATGTCTGTGTGTGATAGAAAATACCACCATCAGAATAAGCACTTTCCTCCAAAATTTGGACAACTGCTAGATCAGACATGTCAAACTCGCGACGTCACGTGACGTCGCGCAACATATTGGAGCTTTTTTGCCATTGCCGGCAATGGGGTGGGCGTGGCTCCGGTATGATGAAACCGGGGCAGTTTGACACCCCTATGCTAGATTGTAGTACAAATATGGGAACCCTCTTTACTGCCATCTAGTGGTCCTTCATAGCCCTGATCTGAGAACTCTTACTAGAAGCAAAAGAGAATTTTGAAAGGCTAAGATTGAAAAGCAGATGCCTTTTTCCCAGGGAACAAACCTTCTTGATCATTGCAAAGAAAAGTTCAACAGATTATTATCTTGGCTTTTCAGAGTTAAGCTGGCAACATGTGGCTCCTTTCTGTGTTACGATGCTTGAATCTGAAGCTAAAGATAGGTCCCAGACCTGTTCTAGGATCCACATCTTACCAGGTTTTCAAAATCAGCTTTTCTCGGACGCTCAAATTAGCAGGACTTAGCAGGCCTGTTTCCAACCATCTCCTTAAGAGAGCGATGGAAATGGCACATCCAAATGAGTTAATTATTTAAGTGGTACTACTACCCAATGTGGCAAGCGCATCTGGATGATTGATTAGCTCACGCATTTGCGAGAAGCACTGAAAACAAAAAGCTGCAACTGAGCAATAAATTGCAGGTCACAAAGTCCTTAGTCAGCTTCTCTGAGATCAATGGATGCCATTTAATGGCTTCAGTGTACAGAGTCTGAAAATGCCAAATGAACATGTAGGTCCCTGCTATTAGCATGCTAACTGCCAATATGTATGAGTCAGATGTACGCAAATTTATGTTGGCCTGAACTTTGTGAAACTTCTGTAACAGGTACTGAAAGAAAACACTGTGGGTTCCTTTACTGAGAGAATGAAAAGTGGATTCAAATGGAAAATGCTTTCCTGTGAATTGAGTCCTGCATCCGCTAAGATACATACAGGATCGATTGTACTGTATAACCTTCATAAGCCAGGTGCATAAAATGCAAATATCCAAGCAGCGTTTTTCAGATACATAAAAAAGTGTTTTTATTTTTAAAAAGTTTTAAATTCATGGTTGCTGGACGAATTAATGCAGAAACAGGCATTGAATTCAAACAATTTTCCAGATTTTCCATCCTACAATCTAAGTCAGTGTTTCTCAACCTTGACAATTTTAAGGCATGTGGACTTCAACTCCCAGAATTCCACAGCCAGCATTAAGTGGTAACTCAGCCCTTTAATATAAAGTTGTACACTCCATTGCATATAATGGTAATGGTATAAAAATATTGTGACCGTAAGTTTAGGAATAACTAGTTTAAAGTGTATTTGCATACATAAGTGGGGGTGTTTGATTTGTCTCCCACCTTTCTATTTGATTGAACACTCAAGATTGCTGGCAAAAAGTAAAACATAAGGAATGCTAACATCATAAACTACTAATGAAGAAGTGTGTTTGTGGTAATTTTTGAAATGCAGGAATCCGAACACTGAATAGCTTGGGAATCATACAGGAGAAAGTTCTGATAGGTTCATAGTAGTAGAGCTAGCCCCTAAAATATTTGGACCCTGCGCTCTTTAGGGTAGGGCTTCAAAAGTTAACAGAAACATCTTATTTTCTGACCAGAAAAATGGTTGGTAACTGATACTTTCAACACGTACATCAGATGCTTCCAATGGTGAATATAACTTAGCAATTTATAGGTTAGGGCTTTGTGCCAGTTGAACCCTGGACTCTTGTTTGAAGGAACCCCTCGTGAATACATTAATCTTCAAAGTCATGTTGAAGCAAGATATGGAGACACGCTGCCAGTTTTGACTAGTACAGGAATGAACACACTAAATGCAACTGTGTAGATGTTCTTCTTGTCACAGCCACCCCGTGAGATTCCCACTTCCCCTGAGAAAAACAGGAAACATACTCCTTTAGGGAGGATCTTGCAACTCCATTCAAGACAGGTTGAATCCCAGTTTCTGAGTCCAGTTTCTTGGTAGCACCTCGGTGTTGTCTAGATTTAATTTCAGTTTGTTCTCAATCATTCAGCTCATCATTTTGTTCAGATAATATTGAAAGGTACTATTAGCTGCCTTGGAGTTGGATAACAAGGCTGTATTTTGAAAAACAAATGTGATCTTTTCTGTGTGGACTCAACAGTGGCAGAGAAATATCATTCTTCACTGCCATGGAGTAGGGATCCTAATGAGTCAGTTTGATTTATCTAGCGATTGCCTCCACTGCACTCAAGCTGTTGTCCCATATGCTACATTGCTCCCTGCTCTCTGATAAACCCAAGGGGCTGATTTGGCTTTACAAGAGGAAGAGGACACTTAGGAATTACAGCATCATTGCCTGGACTGATTGAATTCCAGAATTCATTCTAGGTTTTTGACATGCCACAATAGCATTCCTTGAACCACATGGTAAATTGATTCCATGCAGAGTGGCCTAAATAAATGGAATTCGTTCATTTCTTTTCCTAAACATCTCAACCGTGTATACAAAGGCACATGAAAAAAAAGACTGCATTGCTATAATTCCACTAAAGTTCACAAGGAATTGAGCCAGTAAATTATTTCTGATTAGCTGGTTATACTGAGGAGATCCAGAGAATTGTTTTGCTTGATTGAAAAAAAAAATAATAGTTTGACTTTCTACATGTTTTGTGAAACAAAGGGTAATGTTCAAAAGGAGAAGTAGTAGTAACATACATACAGGAGGCTCAGATAAATTTCTCTCCAGCCTTGCTTTCTGCAATGAACCTTGAAACCTGAATAAAATCTTGTGCAACCCAGGCGTATTCATTTTACTTGGTGCTTGTGAATGTGAAGTAGTCCAACGTTTCCTCTTTCTGCATAAAATTCTTTTTATAACTTGGATTTAATTTCATTTTCTTAGATAAGGAATTTCTCTTTAAAAACTTTTTTTTCATATACAAATTTGATTGGTTGCACAACTACCTGCTACATTTTAGGAATGGCACAAACTATAAAGTTCTGTATGTTTAGGCAGGAAGTTCTGCTTTTCCTAAGAATGGCACCCCCTCTCCTCTCCTCACACAATGTCCTTAGAGTACTGTTTGGTTTCTACCCAGCAAAAACTCTTTCACAAATTCCAGCTCTTCAACAACACTTTTACAGTAACTGCATCTAGCTGCACAGTTCAGACAATGAGCAGATGACAGCCAGAAGAAAGAAAATCGACTAAATATTTGCTATCAAATGTATAGCCAAATGCCAACTCTGGTTAGGATTTTTTTTTTAAAAAAAGAAATGCAATCAGTTGATGGTATGACAGATAAGGGAGAGAGAAAAAGGACTTTGTGGAATAAACAGACCATTGTGCATGGCAACTGGAGAAGGTTTTTTATGTGTTTGATGAGATTGGACGGGGCCAAAATTTCAGCTGAAGAAACTATCATCTAGTTATGCATTCTCCCCAACAGAGCATTAATGTGATTTCTGATTTAAACTTGGGAAAGAGGAAGGAAGTTTCAATTACTGTTTATATTTTGCTGGGGGACAAGTTGCGAATAGCTTTAACACACCTTTCCATTGTGAACAACCACTTGGAAGGCAACCCCTTCCATGCCCATCGTGTTAACTCTTCCCTTTTGAAAAAATGCTTTATATAGTTGTTTGCATTTTTTTATTGACTTCTTTTTCCTAATTTAGATTTTTCTCCTTAGGCTGGAATCATTTTGAAAATTGGCAAAAATATTTTTGGCTGATTTTAAAATGGACATTCCATAATTTGACCTTAGTTGCTTATATAGAATATTCGGTTGCTTTAACTGCTGATATGCCCAATGATGGAAAGAAGCTGCTTGGGGAGATCTGATATATTTTTATTCAGAAACAATGTGTGCCTAATGAACAATAATTTCAGCTGGAAACACGTTGGGATTTCCTTAATGAATTTATAATGTGTAATTACTTCAGGAATCCATTCTGAGTCTCCCTTTCTCAAAGTTTGCTCATAATTATAGTTTGATTAGGCTCTGATCTCCAAGGATGAAATGCAAAATCTTTTTTAATAACAGACATTGCAATGCATTTGCATCAACATCCGCACACCCTTTAGTTTTTTTTATTTATGTATAAATACATGTCAATACCACAAGATGGCACTTTCGTACTTGCAACATTTACTACTACATATACATATCTTCTTCAAGATGTTCCAAATGTAGACTTGTAAACTTTTTTAAAAAGCAAGATCTTGTACAAACAGCTTGTTTGTGTGTATCTCTGTGTGTGTAATAAATAAAGTCAGAAAACATTTTTTTTTAAAAAAAATCATAAATAATTGCAGGTAATAAAATTTAAATTACAAAAGCAGAAATGTATATTAACTGACTGAATTAACGTTTCAAATATACCTAAATGGCTTGATACCAATTTAAAATAACACTCTTCTCACTTCCTTAGTCATTAATACATTTGTCCAACAAGGAAGAAAGAAAAAAAACCTTCTCAAGAATAGAAAATGGCTTGGAGTATATGTTGCAAAATTTCTGGTTTATTGTTATCTCCTTTGGCGGAAGGGAAGTCAGATTATTTTGTGATCTAAGAAACTTAAGTCAGTCTGGAAATCAAGAAATTCCAGATTTTTCGATAGCTTCTCGTGTAACTCAAATATAAACTCTGGAAAACTCATAAGATGAAAGTGGCGAAGAAGAAAGAAACTTTGCACTAATATAGTGCATAATGATGCAGCGTCCAGTTTGTCCTTTACAGTAAATGTAAGTTTAGCTCCCCTTCCCAAACAGGATTGTCATGCTTTCAAAAATTAAAAAAAAAAAAAAGAATCAGTAGAAGACTATAGAACTTCTCATTTGTCCTTATTCCTATGGTTAAAAAGGAAAAGATGTAATTCTGAGGTCCCCTCTGGGGAAGAGTCGTAAAGATATACCATGTTTCAGATATGCTAAAAGGTAAAACCGGTCAAGTTTGGAAGTTATATTCTGCCCAATTTTTTCAGATGCCAGATTCTCCTGAAGAACAAAAATAAAACCCAAACTCATCAGCTGGAATCTTGTATCAAAAGAGGCAGGGGTGGGGGACAGCAGTTAAGGCAGTCAATGTCTACATTTGGGTGGTTTCCATCTTACATATCAACATCTCCATCGTAGGCTAAAGTCAGACACTTCTGCGGCGGAGAAGTATGTTGTGGCTGTTTTGGTTTTTTGCTGAAAAGGAAGCAAAACATTCATTTCTTTAAGAAGCCAAACAGGTGAACTGAATCCTTCATTGGGGGCACAATCCAGGGAAACTGATTTCTATGGGGAACTGTTATATCTTTCAGCACAGAAATGAATAGCAGTTACCTTTAACTGTGCCCTCACCTTTTTAAAACTGGAAGGCTAAGCTAAAGTTATTTTAATTTCCCACCACATAGGCCATATGCTGAAGAAGCGGTCAACTCTAGAAGCCACAGAATTATGGGAATGTGAGAAATGCATACAGGTAGCCCTTGACTAACGGCCATTTGTTTAGAGACCGCTTGAAGTTACAATGGCACTGATTAAAATGGCATATGACCGTTTTTCAAACTTACGACTGTCGCAGCCTCCCAGGGTCACGTGACCAAAATTCAAACGCTTGGCAACTGACTCATATATATGGTGGTTGCTATGTCCCCTGGGTCATGTGATTGCCTTTTGCGGTCTTGTGACAAGCAAAGTCAATGGGGAAGCCAGACTCACTTAACAACTGTGTTACTAACTTAAGAACTGCAGTGTGGCAAGAAAGGTAGTAAAACGGGACAAAACTGTCTTGCTTAGCAAGAAAAATTTGGGACACAATTGTGATTGTAAGTCGAGGATTACACTTGTGTAAGTTCAGTGACAAATGCCTACAAATTACATGATTTCTCACAATTTTTTGGTGACATAGTACAGCAATAAAATTCATAAGCCTTTGGATAGTCTAAATGCCCCCAAAACAGCATCTCTCCCTGAACCACCATTTAAAAAAAAATACCCTCAGAAAAATTAATCCTATCCATTAGCTATATAACAGTGAAAATAACTAATGATAATATTTTTATTAATAGGAACCGCTCGAGAGCCACTTAAGTAAGACACTGAGATGGGTGGTGTATTAATTCAATAAATAAATAAATGTTGCTCCACATTATATTGATATTTGTTACAATTACAAGAAAATACAATATATTCAATTCTTTAATCTTCCATAAGCACATTTGCTCAGAGCCACTTCATAACAGTTCCTACAAAAGATGAGACAAACTACCGCGAAAATGAAATACTTTTCATCAGTTAAGAACTAGAATAATTGAATAAAACTCTAGCTGCATACCTTATCTTCTCTTGGACATGAATGAATATGAATATATCAATCTTCTGTCTATATGTATGTATATATTGGCATGGGGGCGTAAAGGTGAAGATGCTCGCTTCCCACTTGGAAGATTGAGTTCAACCTAGGCCAGAGGTAGGCAATCTTGGCTCTTTTATGACTCGTGGACTTCAACTCCCAGAATGGTTGTCTATCCCTGGCCTAGGCAGTAGCAGATGTTTCTATACCAGGGCGCAAAGGGAAAATATCTGCTGCGAACTCTGCGTAGGCATCAGGAAGGGCATCTGGCCAGTAAACACTCAGCTCTATTTGGTCACCCTAATTGCACCACGAATAAAGGGATTAAAGTGTCGTAAAAAGAATATACATATACATACATATGTACGTATGTACATACATACATATCAACCTAAATAAAAGGATTGGAGCATTCTTTCAGGATGATAGGCTAAACTAAACCTGTAAGTAATGTGAACAGATGAAAAGGTTTTCAAGTGATACTTAGCTTTCTAATTACAGAGAATATAAAGTAACCTCGGAATTTTAATCTCTGAAAGCTATTTGTAACTTTGATACCAATGAATTTCAGTCATTCTAATTTAGTTCCAAATGACTGAATCTAAATCCAACATCTCAAAACAGAATTAACAGGGTTAGAAGCAAGCACAGAATACATACCAAAGAAGATATGAGGTGAAGATTAGGAAAACTATAATGAGAAACCCGCCAGCTGATACGCCATATACCCAAATTTTAAGTTTTCCATCTGAGACAGGGGAACAAAATAATACATTTGACATTTTTGCAAGGTGTACATTTTTGCTTATTTTCTGTCAGTTAAAAATAGGAAACCCTTGTAACCGTTATTTCCTGAATTCGCCTACCTTGAAGGGGAAGCAAAACTCATCTACGAACCATGTCAATCTGTACAGAAATAACTGAAGATTCATGCTAAATCACAGAGCTATCAGTGAAGTTGCATCTTATGAGAAAAAGAGCAGGGAGGTCAAATTTATTTATTTATTTTTAAAAATATATATTGCCACCTGCTCACACATGGCGACTCAAGACGGCTTTCAGGACATAAAAAACAATATAAAAATAATAATAAAAGATGAAAATAGTAAAATAATAACCCCCCATCCCCCCACCCTAGTGGCAACACACATTCATACCAGCCATTTAATGGGCTCCGTCCCACTCTGGGATCCCCAGGCCCACTGGCAAAACCACATCTTCAGGGCCTTCTGAAAGAGTGTTAGAGCCATTCTAATTTCCAGAGGGATGATGTTCCAGAGGGAGGGAGCCACTACAGGAAAGACCTTTCTTCTGGGTCCCACCATCTTCTTAGAGGACATTCCTTGCCTCCCTGTTCTAGTGGGTCAAGTAGATGTGACTGCCAAGGGACGGCCCCTCAGATAACCTGGTCCTAAGCCATGAAGGGCTTTATAGGTGACAACCAGCACCTTGAATTATAGCCGGAACCAATGCAGCTCCCGCATAAGAGGTCTGCATAAAACCATGCAGGTCTCTGCATTTTTAAGGGCAGCCCCGTATAGAATGCACTGCAATAGTCAAAATGGGAGATGACTAGGCCATGAGTAACCGTGAGTAGGGATTGTTGGTCCAGGAAAGGGCTTAACTGGCACACAACCTGCAGTTGTGCAAAGGTCCTCCTGGCTACGACTGCCACTTGCTCTTTGAGTAGGAATCGCGAGTCCAAGAAAAACCCCAGATTACACACTGGGTCTCTTTGGGGGCAGTGATGACCCATCCAAGACCAAAGGTGGCAATTTTTCATGGACCAAAGAGCTCCAAACCCAGAGCCACTCAGTCTTGCCAGGGTTAATGTTTCAACCCGTTGCTCCCCATCCAATCTCTAACAGCTTCCAGGAACTGCGAGAGGGAGATCACAACATCACTTAATAAACCATGGGCTGAGATATAGAGTATCATCAGCATATTGATGATGTCGGGCCGTAGCAGAGGCTGTCCCGGTTACCTGTTCCGAAGATGCCCTGACTCTCCAGGCGCGCGTCCCGACGGCCTGACATCCAGCTGATTGGCGGGCATGCGCAGAAGGCGCTCCGACAGCCAGCTGGCCTCGCTGGCTCTGCACATGCGCAGACGGTGGCCAGGATACTACAGCACATGCGCAGATGGCTGGAAGGGCTAGAACTGCCCAGTACCCATGCGCGGACACCGAGATGGATCTAATGACAATAATTGAAGCAGTAGAAGCTGCCGAAGCGCCGGGAAGCCGTCGAAGCGTCGGGAAGCATCGGGAGGTGGCAGCTGAAGGCTAGTATAATCGGGATGGATGACCATATATGAGGAACCTAGGCGGTCCGGAAGAGGGTGGTGGTGCATGGGTGGTAGCGTGGGCGTGGGCTAGGCAGGGACTTTGTGAATTGTATAAAAGAACCATGACTGTAATGGTTGTCAGTGCTGACTTTAAACTGTTATTTTGCTGTAATAAAGTTGAAGTTCTTCGTTCCTGACGTGGTGGCTCTGTGTCTGTTGGTTGTGAAGTCAAGACGAGGCAACAGATGACATCTCAGTCCATGCTGATGGATGATCGCACCCAACAAGTTCTCGTAGATGTTGAATAGGAGCGGAGAGAGTACCCAGTAGGCAAGGGCTTGATCTCTCACCTCTTATTAACACTGACTGAGATGAAGGTATTGTACTATGAGTAAGGAGAAGAGGTTCAACTCCGCCTTCAGCTATGGAAGCTCCCTGGGTGACTTGGAGCGGGTCGCTCTCTTTCAGTCCAATGTACCCCCAAGGATTAGATAGAGTACAAGGATTTACAGTCCTTGTAACCATCATTAATAATGGAAAATATACTGAACAGCAGGTATCCTGCAACTGTAGGATTCCAACTTGAGATTTGATTATAACCCACTATAACATTGCAGTGTTTGACAGCTATGTTTGGAGCTGGACACAGATCACAGGTATGTAGAAAGTCTCATGACTGACCTTTATGTTTTTTTTCTCTCCTCCTTGTAGGAGAATCTCTCCTACTTATATTTCTGATTAATCAGTGAAGGAAATGTCATTAGCTTCAGCATTGTAAAATGAAATCCCAGGTCATTCTACAGAAAAATGCTCTTGCACAATTTATGCTAATGATATTCATGTGATTATATTACAAATGAGAGTTTGTATATCCTCTAGTGTAGTTTCTGGTTATGTGATTCACTGAGCATGAAGCTTACTTTTCAAATTAAGAGAGAGAGAGAGAGAGAGAGAGAGAGAGAGAGAGAGAGAGAGAGAGAGAGAGAGAGAGAGAGAGAGAGAGAGAGAGAGAGAGAGAGAGAGAGGGAGGGAGGGAGGGAGGGAACATCATGCCACAATTTGTTATTTTTACCTGCATTAAAAGGCTGAATTGACCATCCTTTGAAGATGTCATGCATTTTGGAATTGATAGGCTTATGCTTGGCAGCATTTGTTTTAACATCGGCTTTCTTATCTGCTAAACCAGGTATCTTCATGCAGTAATCCAGGAAACCATTTGATCTCATGATTTCAGTGTAGCCTCTCTCACAACCACAGATGCCACCCTAGGTAACAAGGAGAAAGATAGTTCAGAAATCAGTTCATCCCTCCAGAAAATGTTTCTGCTGGGGAGGGAGGCGGCTGCTGGGCAAACCCCAGTTAACCTAATGCCACGTGCTTTTACTATTTTAACTGAAAGCCCAACCCAGGCCACGGACTTACTATGGATTGCCAATATCATTTAAAGCTTTTTGAGCCACACTAAATGTAACAGAACAATGGCGGGCCTGTTCCTTCTTTTAATGAGCCTGGATAAGTGGGTTGCAACCGAAACACTGAGCACAAAAATCCATCTTGCCAAAAGAACCTAGCTCAAGACCTCACAGCAATGAAAGTAAAACATTTTCCCTCTTAAATAAGTTGTTCATTTAAGGCTGCAATTCTGTGTGGAAGGACTGGTGACCAGCTTGACCTGACATCTATTTAGAGTAAACACATACAAACTTGCATTGTGTTATGCATCAAAATTTAATTTAATTTAAAATCTGATGGTAAGGCTGTATGTATTTCAAAGCAAAAGCAGAGTTTCTGTGTTTCAACATACTAATGTACTTATTGATAGAAAATAACAAAGATGGGATACAAATAGAGAGTTAGGGATAGGGATAGAGGCAGATAGGGATAGGGACAGGGATTGGCACCGGGACAGGGACAGAGACAGACAGAAAGAATTATTTCAATTCAATCTCAATTTCACAACTCTGGACAACTAACAATATAAAAAGAACAAAATGTTATTTCAGGCAAGAACCTGAGGCACATCAACATATGCTACTTTTCGTCTACATAGCATCTTGATGTGAGATATTAGGGAAAATACCACCTGCAGAGTATAATACCTTCAGCTGTCATCAGCTGCAGAAGGATACAGAGATATACTGAGGAGTGTAGTTGTGTGTTAGGGAAATGGTTAATGGATGGTCTTCTTGTGTGGATTTGTCTTTAGCATGAAATCAGACCAGGTAACACCCCACAAAAGTCTACCCAGAGTAATTGTATTCTAAATTACAATTTGAGAGTCAATTTGATATATATGCCTCTCAAAATATAGGAAGTGTGGACACCAAACTCTCTTCCAAAAATCAAGATATGGGACATGATAGGTTCCCCATGGACTGAAAGTTTGAAGATACAATGTCCCTGGGCCATTGGCCTTCTCATTTAATTCATTAATTTCTATGGCCACCCATCTCAGTCAATGACCTTTTCTTTGCTTATGTCACCCAGAGAAATAACTTGGGTTGCTTCCTTTACCCTTAAGCTCAGAATTAAAAGGCAGAGAAGAGAGCCACCATCTTAAGTGAGAGTCTAGTTCTTAAGACACCAGGTTAAAAACCAGGAGAGTGAATTCTAGTCCCAGAGTAGAAATGAAAGCTGCCTAGATGACTTTGGGCCAATTGCTCTTTTTCAGCCCAACTCACTCACGGTCGTTGTGAAAATAGGAGGAGGAAGGAATATTAGATATGTTTACTGCCTTGAGTAAAATAAGGGCAGGATACAAATAAATAAATAAAAATTGCCGGAGGTCTGTTGTTTCATTTCAGTGTTCCAAAGAAATACCAAAGGACTCTAGGAACACAAACTATTATCCTTCACATGGGAAGAGACTGAGCTCCTGATGTCATTGGATGTGAACATTCACATATTCCTTTTATTCACAGCTTATTTCTATATTTACAACCTGTCTTATATGTTCCGAACTGAATTTCTGTGAAAAGAAGCAAGTACCGTATTTTCCGGTGTATAAGACAACTGGGCGTATAAGACGACCCCCGACTTTTGAGAAGATTTTCATGGTTTAGAAAGTTGTCTTATACGTCGGAAAATACGGTATTTACTCGCAGTTACCCAAATATATGTTTTCTTCACACATCCCCTTTTTGTCTGTAAGGCTATATATTCAATTTACTGAATGGATAGCTTCCTATGCATGCCCAATTAGGTCTCCAGTCTGTTGGGAATGTGTGATTTTGCTTTGTTTTACATTCTAAAAATAATTGGTTAGCAGTCAAAAGATTTCTTCCTAATGAAGTATAAAGTGCACCGTCTAAATTACCTGTGTACAGTACGAGAAAGGTTTTTTGCAGGCTGGGTTGCAATACCTGGTTGTAGCTGGCTGTAACTGCATAGAGCAGCCCCCTGCAAGAAGAATTGTCAAGAGAAATCATCAAAGATACAACTCAAAATGAGTTAGGAATATCCACTGGTTATTTGCTGTGCTGCAACACTGGTTCTGAAAACGGCACATTTACATTATTTCCAAGACATGTTTGCAGAGGACATTTTAGCCTCCATTCTGCACTGTGAAAAGTCTCGTGCTTGGCGTCTCTTTGTATTTTTAAGGTATACAACCGATATTCTACCATTTTTATAGAGAGAGATAAAATATGAATACGACAAATTGGCATTTCAAAACACAAGTAATAAAAATATTATAATCATAAAACAGGCAAAAGATTTAATAACTTAAGCTGCTGGTCTTCGATTCAGAAATTGAATTGAAGACCAGCATTAGCATTAGCCAAACTTTTATTTTCTTTTTTTCCAGATTTTTTTTTTTAACAATTTTCTTCTGGAAAAAAAGAAGAGTATGGTTAATTTTTTTAAACTGCATAAAGCAGGACATGATCTTGAAGCAACTTTTTAATCAATATATCAACAACAAGAATTTGGGGCAAAAGACATGCAGCACAATAATAAGTTTGTAGTGGACACTTGGCATCAGATGGCATTTATTCATATATACACATAAGAAGTTGAAGGGGAAGCATCCCAAGTACATCCTTTTAGGTTTATAAAGACTCAGTCCACTTCCACTTAGCAGATGGAGCAAGCACAGAACTTGTCATTCTAATTAGAAATGCCTGTATGTTGATTAGATAAAAGATTCAACATGCACAATTGTGTGTTGAATACACTGAGATTGAAATGGCAATCCCAAGTGAGATTGGAAGCCTCTATAAAAGAGGAGATGGTGAAGGCTACATCTTACCATTTCCACCATTCCTTTCTCTCAAGGGCAATTTCCTAACAAATGAGCAACTTTTTAATATTTGCCTAAAAACAAAGGTGAGGGGCAGGACATGAAACTGATACAGCGAGAACCTCTTTGTCACACTTCAGCATTATAATGTTAGAGAGATTAGAAACAGACATAGTTATTTTTGATGAATCTTGTGAGAAAAAGGTATTTGCTACCGTGTTAGAATTTGAATAAAAGGCTAAGAGGCTTCTTTCTTGTAAGAAAAGCTGCTAGGAAGCGAAGGACATCTAGAGAAAGAGCTAGAGCTACTGCATGGGGACTGTACAAATCTGGATGACCATCATATGACATCAAAGGCATTAGAATTCTCTACATCTCTTTGCTCTCCTTGATTCATTGAATCAGTCTGCAAAAAAAAGCATGAAGAAGGAACGTTGTTGATAAACCTTTTTAAAGACAAATAATTGCTCATATTCTATTGTATAATATCTGTTTATAGAATATTGCTATTAAATAAAGTTTTAATTATCTGTAATCAACCAGAATTGAAGATAGAATATAATATGCAGCTTCCCTAAGATATTATTGCTATCAGGAGAAGAACAGATAAGAGAGGCGACCGTTTTATTATTAGATCAGCGCAGAGTGTGTTGGTTGAAATAAATATAACATTAGATGTTGGTTAAATATGCATACTCAAATGAGGCTCAGCTGCTATAAACTCCAATACTAAGCACAATGCCTTCCACCAAATACACATAAAACAGATCACAAAAATGGACTAGCTCCAGGACTGCAAATTTTCCATGAGTACATAGAGAATTTGTGTCCCATTCAATAACTGAAGTACTTTTTCCCACGGATAATTGTGGATAAGGTATTACAGTATGGCTCTTGGTGGCTTAATTTTAAGTTCTATTAAATTTGCAGCACTATAACTAGAAATAAACTAAATGGTGTGATTTTTTTTCCACAATTCTCTTGCTGAAAAATTGCAGAGTCCCCCAAATGTATGATGGTCTCTCATTAAAATTCCATAAATAAATTCTCTTCTCCCCAGCTGTGCTAGGCTCTACTCACTTACAGACTAGATATTTGAACACTCCTCCTTTGCTCTTTCAGATTATTTTATTGTCCTCTCTAATGAGAAATGTAGTTACGGTTCAGTTCTTAGTATAAAAATTCATTTTTTAAAATTTCTCTGAGACAGAAAGGAGCATTTCATAGGGAAAAATGTGCTTTGTCAAAGCTACATTTATTTTTCAATAAATGAAGTTCCACTTTTGGAGATAAATATTCACTGCAGCTCAATAGAGTCCTTGGTTCCGGTCAACAATCAGAAAAACCACCGTATCAGTCTTTAAAATATCAATTTCAAAAATATCCATCAAAGGGAGCTGCACATAATGTAGCACCTGTTTGTGTGGCATGAATCTGAAGGCAACAAACCACAGAAGCATGTGAACATATGAGTCTTCCAGCAGTTCTATGCTGCCCACCATTCCCTGGAGCCTTACAGTTGAGAGGATCAGTGGTAGAAACTACAATGAAATGGCGAATCAAACATTCCTGCTTTTCTGTGTGAGTTCTCATCCTTGTCTTCACAGTAATTTCTTTAATTGTGTTGCCAGTATTAATTGAAATAAGCAATGCATTTGTGTAATGTAGAGTCATAATAGCACAATGAAGAGAAATCAGCTGGAGCTATTTGCTTGGATGGAAACCTTTGCCCATGTATTTGCTCTCTGCATGTGCCACACGCTATTTTTCATTGTACAGGTCGATTGCTCTGTGTGCACTAATGATTATGTGCATATATTCCTGCTTGCAGCTTTCAGTTGAAGTCTTAAATTTATTTAAAATATTTATATTCCTCCTTCATTTAATTTGAATTCATAAGATAACTAGAAAGAAAATCACACTGGTACTAAAAAAATAATACAGTAGAGCATCAAAAATGAACAAAACCGAAAGAAAGATACCATCACCACTGTCTGGCATTTTAAACTTCCCTGAAGAAAACAGTAATATTAATAAAATCCCTGAAGAAAATAATAAAACTAATATCTTTCTTAGAGAAAAAAGAGATACAATCTTGTAGGCAAATGGAAGAGGAATATTTCAGGTTGGGGGAATGTGTTTGAGTTCTTCCAGACATCAGGACAAACACTTTCTAGATTTTAGAACACAATTATAAAAAAGATTAATATTATTTTAGAACAATATTTAAAGTAGAAATCAACATAGAATGAGGTGTATGATAAGGTGATAAAATATCACCTATCCTTTTCTCAGCCTGCCTGGAACAAGTATTTCACAAACTAGACTAGGCAAAAGATAAAATAAATGGCACCTATTTAAATCATTTAAGATTTGCAGATGATATTGTTCTCTTCTCACAAAACTCATAAGAGCTACAAAGACACATATAAGAGTTGCACAAAGCAGTATAATCATTTGGCTTAAAAATAAACCTGAAAAAGAGCCAGGTTATGTTTAATAAATTCACCAAAGAAAGAAAAAATATATATCTGGAGAAGAACTAGACATAGTTGACCACTACACATATCTTGGCCAACGGATCTCAATAGAAGGTGATACAACAAAAGAAATTGAATGACGTGTTAAATGTGGTTGGCAGGCATTCAGCAAGCTAAGCAAAATTTTCAAGAAAAACACCCCCCTCCATGCCTGACAAGAAAAGCTTTCAATCAGTGTGTGCTACTTGCTCTAACATATGCCGGGGAAACATGGACACTAACCTCACAATCGATACAAAAGCAAAGAGCCATGGAAAGATACATGCTTGGCATTAAAAGACAAGATAGAAAGACCCGCACATCGATTAGAGAACAAACAAAAGTATATGATATCATCAAGAGAATAAAAGAAGTGAAATGGAAATGGGCTGGTCACATAGCAAGAAGGACTGATGGCAGGTGGACCAAGGCAGTGATAGAATGGATCCCACTTGATAAAAAGTGTCCATGAAAGAGACCTAAAATGAGATGAATTGACGACATCAGCAAGTATTGTGGGCCCAACTGGCAAAGGAAAAATTCAAGACCATATTGGTTGGAAACGTGCTGAAGAAGCCTTCATCCTGCAGTGGATAGACAATGGCTAAAATGATGATGATGGTGGTGGTGATGATTGTTTTAGAACAAAGGGAAGTGTTATATAAACATAAAGCCACCTGCCAAGTATTTATATGAATTAGCAGCGAGCTACCAATATTCACTTTTGAAGCAAATGTTTAAAAGGATGTTGGCTCTGAAGCTGCAGAAGTTCCTAGAAAATATCAATTATCTCAATTTTTTAAAAAAAAATGGATTGAAACTTGTTTGGATCTATAATTGGCCTTGGGCCTCAATAAAGAGCAGAAGAATAAAAAAAAATTATTTATTCATTTTAAAAAAAACCTATATGGCTGGCTATCTCACAGAGTGACCCTAACAACTCACAACAATGAATAAAAACAAGGTAAAGACGTTTCCCACCAGGTGCCAGAGTAACCATACTATTGACCCCAACTCAATCCTATCCTAGCACACTGCTTGGAAGAATAGCAAAATCTTAATTGACTTTTGAAAAGCCAAAATAGTAGAGGACCCTTGAATATCAGATGAGAGACTGTTCCAAAGAGTTAGGGCAGGTATAGAGAAGAAACACCTCTTATGTCTCATCAGATGACAAAATTTAAGGAAAATGTCCTGGAACATGGTCACCCTATCTGATCTAGGGGGACAGGTAAATACATCTGGGGAGAGGTAGTCCTGCAAGTAACTTGGCCTTGTGCCATGCTGGCCTTTAAAGATGATAACCAGCACATTGAATTGCATCCTGAAAGCATCTGGGGTCCAGTGCAGCTCATTCAGCAATAGTATAAGATGGTCAAACTGTGGGATATGTAGAAGTCCAATCTCGGTTGCCTTCTGGACCAGTTGCAGCCCCACGTAGATCACATTGTAGTGACCCAATCAGGAAGAGGCTAAGCCACGTATGGCTATGAGGAAGACCTGGAATGGGTACAATCAGGATACAAGATGAATTTGAACCAAGTCTGCTTTGGCTCTGTAAGCTGTAAGCAGGAGGAAACCCCCCCCCCCAAACTGTGTACCAGTTCTGCCTGTTATTTCATCCAGAGTCAAATATGTCAGTTCTCCTCACTACCCACAGCCACTGTTAGGGTTAACAAGACCCTTAGAGCTTCCAGGCACTGAGCCAGAACTTGCCTGACTATCAACCTCTCCCACCCACCCACCCCGTACTAAGAAGTGGCTTCCTAAAAACCTCCTTGGCCAGCCATCTTCTTAAAAAGATTTAATAAATTAATGAGTTTGGGTCACACAAGGTCCATGATCATTGCTAATCCTATAAAAAAAATCAGTATTATAATTAATAATTGAAATTTTAAGTTCAGAAAAAAGAATGGGAAATAAATGAAAGAGAAGAGGCTTTCTAAATGCTTTTTGTATTAATCCCTTTGTGGAAGTCCTTTCTTTTTTCTTTCATTGGAGTATCAAATTCCAAAGAGAAAAAAGAAACAATTTTAAATGCTTGCAAAATAACGATTGCAAGTATTGATTATCAGTGACTAATGACTTTATATTATAATCTGCAGGCTAGTATGTGACATACTATTATATTTTCTAGTTTCCATTCTTAAAGAATTTGAACATGATGCTTTCCCCTGTATTTGCAATTTACTTCTATTGAGGCGCGCAAATTTGTAGATCTTTTGGGAAAAGCTGCACAGAACAATTTTTTCTGTACACAGCATGTCACACATTAGAGGGAAGATTGGATGGCAGCACTTACAGTTTTTCTTATTTTTTTCCTGCTCTATAATGGTCATCCAGATTTTTATAGCCCAGGTCTTAAAAACAACAAACTGAGACCGAAATGGCGACATACCTGGATAATTCCAGGTAATGTTTGCCTGTTCGTATGATGGAACGTGCTCCTGGAGAAGCAGAGGGGGAGAGTTATCGCAACACAGAGCTTTCCCAGAGAATGACCTAGATTACGAGATTGCACAATCCTTAGCTGGAGGGGCAAGGGGTGAAGAGGTTCAGAGAAGCCACACCCTGGAATCGCTCAGGATAGATCTGGTACCTTAGAAGGTTATAGCTTTAGTTTGGCAAGGTTCTGTCTATTAGGCATAAGCAAACAGAGGACTGGATTCAACTGGATTTTGATGTGTCTTCTCTAGGCTTGGGTCTAATAGTTTTAGATGGCATGGATTTTCTTAAAAAAGAAGAAGAAGAAGAAACAGAAAAAAAACCCTACACTGGTTTGTACTTTGGGAAGGTTCTTGGATCTCATGCTAGGATTACCAAAGGAAGTCCAGGCAATTATACTTACCATAGCTCCTACACATGGAATGCTCTTTGCACTGGTGTTCCAGAGCCGCTGACGGCACGGCATTTACATACGTCTTACAAACTTACCTCTGTATTCCCCGTTTTAGTACTGAGCATTTTAGTTTAGTCCTGTGGTTCCTGTTCTCAGCTTCCTCATGTTATAATTAAGATATTTTAATGACTGGAAGTTTTATATATTTTGCAGTTGCAATATTGTTTTTTACATACATTGAACTAGTATAATAATGTGATTATTGATAAGAAATTAGATATAGAAAGAAGAGGTTTTTTATGTGAAGTACTGAAGAAAGTTATTAAGTTATTCAAATTGTTTAGACTTGTCTGGAGGGTGAAGGGAGTCATCTTTTATGTCTATCTATCTATCTATCTATCTATCTATCTTTTTCTTTTCTTTATTTTTCTATCTCTTTTCACTTTTCTTTTTCTTTTCTTTACTGCTTATATTTTCTTTAGTTTGTATTAGTTTTTTATCTTTGTATTTGTAAACTTTAATAAAATTATTATTTAAAAAAGGAGCTAGTATAAAATTGGTAATAGAGAGGGTGGTGAAGGTGATGGTAATAGTGATAACAAGGACATTGCTGAGCACACCTACCTGTAACATTCAACCTGTCAGAACGCTGGCACCACACTGTGCGTTCATTATCTTGCCAAAGACTCGTTTTCCATACATAATTATAGCATTTTCCTCCTAAAGTTCAAAATAAGGCAACAGTTTATATATACCTGAGTTATATCATTTTCTTCTTTTCAATAACACTAAACATTCTTAAGTAAATTCAAATGAAAACTAGTAAACAAGACATAGCCAAGCAGGAGAAATACAAAAATAGTAGAATTTGCTGTTCTGGTGATTTAACTTTCTGTAGTTGTCTGTCTATTCTATCCCATTTTTTTCCTTCTTTCTAAAGACCGTAAATAGTTTCCCGTCCCTGCTTGCCTTTTCAAACATTTTTCTTAATAAACATCTTTTGATGGGGAGGGGGAAACAGGGTTTGGAAACATGACAATAAACTATAGAAATGACAACAAGAAAACAACTTAGAAGCAAACTCTTCTGTGAGATAATAAGAACTGTGGTTTACAGTATTCCCTACCTGAGCAAGGCCTGGTCTCCAATTCTTGTTCAGGACAGCTGTCTTGATTTTCGAAAGCCTGAATTATAAATGTTCTTGATCGAGACTGACGACCCACACTCTCAAAGCTCCTGCCATCGATGCATGTTAATTCACAAGAGCTCCACTCTGACCACTCGGATAAATGACAGTCACCTGTCAAAAATGAAGAAAGGAGGGGAACGTGGACTTTACTAATAGATGTCTGTATACTCTCTTCAATTATAACATCAGAAGGAACCTACAGCTTATCAAAGCACAGGAACAGTCTTGTATATTCTGGGATCCTTTTTTACAACACCCGCAGACTATGCTGCAGAATGTTGGTGAGAAAAGAGCTCAAAAATGGTGATGTGGTTTCCTGTATTTCAAATGTCGAAATCTCTCTCTCTCTCCCTGTCTCTCTCCCAGTCTCACTCTCTCTCACACACATAAATCTAGGACTAGCTCAAAGTTAACAGCACAAAGAAATCTACAGTGGTTGGCCACCATCCTTCTGCAAAATCCTGGCCCAACCATGTGCCACTATAGAAACATTCATTTTGTGATTTCCCTTCATTACAGTCTGAAATATCCCAAGGATAAGTGGTTTGTTTGTTTGTTTGTTTGTTTATTATTAAACTTATATGCCCCCCCCATTTTGCCTACTCATCTACTTGACCCAATCCAATTCCTGCTCAATTCGAGATATCCAGTCTAGGATGTGATCAGGCCTCCTAACAACAGCCAGCCTTGCCAATGACAATTTTAAAGCAGCAATTGGAACTTTTTGGTGCTGTGGGCTACCACCTTTTAAATTATTTTTTGTGGCAGCTGAAGAATACAGTGAGGTAATATATGAGAATATAGTACTGTATATGCCGGTGTACAAGGCGACCCGGCATATAAGATGACCCCCGTCTTTATAGCCGGGCCGCATTCCTAGAACATCGTCTTATACGCCGGAAACTACCAGTATTTCTGGCGTATAAGACGACTCGGCGTATAAGACGACCCCCATCTTTGGCGCCGATTTCAGCGCTCGCGGAAGTCGCCTTATATGCCGGCATTTACGGTATATGGATTTGTGGAGTGGGAGAGAACTGCTTTTTTATGGTAGTTAGGTTAAAACCTCTCAGTCCTTTGTTAACTTGCTTTACACTTATGCTAAATTAAAACATTTTCAACGTTTTTTTGTTGTGTTATAACATACTGACAAATTTTGGCAGTACAATTTCATAAGACTGCGTGGGGAGTCTAAAAAAGAAGTGGAGGTCGCATGTGATCCCTGCTATTAAGCTGTAGGAATGGTTGAATCAAGCATGTTATTTTTTTTCACCACTTAAATGTCCATGACCTAATTATTAGCATGTAATCTACTGTATTTTTCAAACTGAAGTTCTTAAAAGCTCTTTTGCATAGTTTGTGCTAATCAGTATAAGCACAAAAATATATTAAACTTTAATACAGCTTTGGGAATTTTATTTTCTCTAGATCAAGCTGAACCCTAGGCTAACTTCATTAAATTTTCCTCGCAAACAACAGTTTCTTCACTTGGGTGTTTCTCACATACACACATACAAAGGGGTGGGGGAGAGATTATACTATTTCAGTTAAGGCAAAAAGGTGCTTAAACCAGATGTGTCTTTTTCGAGTATGTGTTGTTGGACTGCCATATAATTCTAGGAAAAGATGCAACTGCTATGGTCTATCAGCACTGTTGATGATTCAAAACACAGTCCTACCATTCAGTCTAAAGAGTTACAGTACATTGCTCTCTGATATAATGTGCATTGCATGAGTTAAAGAAGAGATGGGGAAGGTTGACCTCTGGATTATAGTCCATCTGCAAGGACTTCCTGCTTATTTCTACTCTCAAATTCCATAACTATATTATCCCTCCATCTGGATCTATATTACCTATGTTAAAACAGTAGAGTTCAGACAGATCTTATAATAGGCTATAGATAAGTTTAAGATAAAAGGTTAACTCTGCAAGAACAAAAGGGACCATTCTCTCAGGAAAGGCTGCAATCCAAATGAATAGGGACATGGCAACTTATGGTGACCAGAAGAAGATTCTGATTATGGATGGATCCTGAGCCCAAGGTCAGCAAAGTCAGAGCCAAAACTGGGTGGCATTTTAAAATCAGAAGCTTCTGGACCATAGATTCATCACACCAGACTTAAAGGTTAGTTTCAGGAGAAAAAAATTACGTAGTCTTTTGTGTGATTGATTTCTGATTAGTCATCTTTAAGGTTGGACAGTAATCCATCAAAAGCTAGGATGTATAGAACAAACTGCAGGTCTATGCCAAACCATCTATTGACTTGGAACATCATGTGCAACTGGCCATAGCTATTTATCACCAAAATGATGAAATATGGTCCTTCTCAGAGTTTACCTGGACAAGGGACAGAACATGGAAGTTGAAGCAAATTCTCTTTAGGGGGAAGCTCTTCACACAGGGTGCTCTCAACTTGCTTAAATGTTGATGTTGACATGCCATCATGTACCACACACAGGAGGTTTCGTATCTGGATTCCATTTCCGCATTGTCCACCCTAACAGAGGAGAAAAATAGAGTTATCAAAACAACTTGCTGTAAAAATAATTACACTTTGCATGCTATACATACCTTTATCCTAGAAACAATGCAGAGTGTTTGCAACTCAGGCAACGCTTCTTGCAATGTGCAAGAATGCTAAAAAAATAATAATGTAAAAGCGGTCTTTTCTACTTCCATTTTTGTGTTCCGTCCCTTGTAGTTGATAAGTATTCTGCAATGTGGTTAAAGGATCATTCTCTAATGAATAGTTCTTCTTTTGGTGGAGGCAAGGAAAAGGGTAGCTATGCTCTTTTTACTCTTGACAGGGATCTCCAAACTTGGCAACTTTAAGACTTGTGGACTTCAACTCCCAGAATTCCCCAGCCAGCATGGGGAGTTAAAATCCACAAGTCTTAAAGTTGCCAAGTTTGGAGACCCATGGTCTTAAACTACACATAATAATTAACTTTTGAAGATAATATGGATTCAGAAGGACTAAAGCCTCACTGGGTATATTGCCTGCTCTACCAATGATGTAAATGCAGAAGAAAAAGTGTTTTGGGTTTGTTTCTCAAAACAACATGCCCCTTTATAACAACGGTTCTCAACCTTTTTAATGCCGCGACCCCCAACCGGTTGTAAGTCGAGGACTACTCAACCGGGCGTAAGTCGAGGACTACTCAACTGGTGCAGCACCGTTTGCAGAATGGGACTTTTGGCGGGCTCAGCAGGGCAGAGACAGCCTGGACAATTCCTATTGGCTTTTGAAAGCCAATAGAATTAGACTCTATTCAAGAGAGTCTATTCTATTGGCTTTCAAAAGCCAATAGAATAAAAGGGAGTAGCACAGCTAAGGAAAAGGGGGAAAAATGGCGGACTGCGTTGTTTGGCAACCCCCGTGAAATGGTCGTTCGACCCCAAATGGGGTCCCGACCCACAGGTTGAGAACCACTGCTTTATAACATGTTAAATCTTCCTCACTTTTGCACATCTTCCTGGTTATGGCCCAATAAGTCTGACGTGATTAAGGCTAAGCAGATCTCATCTTCTCTCTACTCTGAAATAATTGAATGTGGAAATCTAAAGCACTTTAAAACCAATGCTAGACACTGAATCAAAAGGTTTTGAATGAACAATAATCTAAAAGATAAAGGGGGAAGGGCAGAAGGATATGTAAAGCAAAGAGATACATGCCAATTGCAGTGTGAAAAAAAGGGAGGGCATACATGCGATCCATGCTGAGAAAGCAAAAGTACAGCTGTTTGATGCTTCACAGTTCACATCAGCGTTTACATTTTCAAACTGTTAGAAAAAAAAAGTAATCATTTCAAGGAAAAAAGTCAGAGTCAGCACTTCAGGCTACTAAAGCTTTAAACCATATTGTTTCAAGGCCTTTCGAAGTATTGAAAGAGGCTATTCTTAGTGCAAAAGTCAATTTCCTTGGTGGCGGGGTTCTCTGAAATTAAATCCTGCTTTGATCTAGGCAAGCTGATGCAAAACCCATCCACAGTATGACACTCACTGGACTGCTATTACAATTGTACAGCTCTTTGACCTTTGATGTTAAATTAGTTTTTGGTCACCTGCCTCAATTGTACTTATGACTGTTCCCTACTTTATTAGAATTTTCAATAACATTAAATTAACATCGTCCCCTTAACTTTCAAAGCCAGGATAAAATTGCCTCATAAATGTGGGTTGCAATCAAGTTCAGTTTCTACCTGTTGTTCCAAGGTGATGTTTTAAAAACTTCAAGTACCTCAACTCTGCATGGGGACCACTCTCCAAGAACCCAGCTATAGCAGGGTTTTGCAACACAACTGCGGAACTGAGTAAGATCAGCTGGGCAAGGTCTTCCTTCCCCTTGGACTTCCATAATTATAGATCGGGTACGGAGCGTCTGACCTAAAGAAGGAGAGAAGATTAGAGAACACCTTGTATTTTAATATTTTCTGAATCTTTCTCAGCACTTTTAAAATACTTATAAGTCATTAGGAAAGGAGGCTATGATGGTGTGCCCAGTCCTATCTCTCTAATTCTTTTAAACCAAAACTGATAAGGTTAAAATAACTGAAGGCTTGAATTGGGCTGTGCAAGAGCAAGCTTATTTGGACTAAGGCAATCAAGGCCAGAACTGAAAAAAATCATCCAATGATTAAAGTGCAGATTGTGCAAAGAAGCAGAGGAAACAATAGATCATATATTCAGCTTGTGCAAGATTGCACAAACTGATAATAAACAATGCAATAAATAACACAGTCACCAAAAAATTATCATGTGCCAGGAATGAAAAATTGGTGGGAACATAGAGATAAAAAGTAGTCAAAAATGAGCAATCAAAAGTAGTCAAAAATATTGTGGGATTTCTGAATATAGATTAATAAAGTCTTGGCTCATAACACACCAGATATAATTGCAGTTGAAAAGAAGAAAATTGTGGATAATTGATGAGGCAAATACCAGGAGACAGTGGAATAAAAGACAAAGAATTGGAGAAGATCACAAAGTATCAAGATCTGAAAAGTGAAATTGAAAGATTATGGCATATACTGGCTGTGGTGATTCAGTGGTAATTGACACACAGGTGATTTAGTGGTTATTGACATACCCCCCCAAAAATCATAGACAGTACTTAGAAAAATTAACACATTGACAAAATTTGCATCTGTCAATTGCAAAAAGTCCATCATTAAATTTTAAAAATGTATACATTCCAAATTAAGTGCCTTGAGTTCTTTAAAACTAACCCCCCTCAAAATAGAAACATTTAAAAACCAGCCCATCATTTTAGTAAGATCTCAGTGTCATCTACCATGACTCGTATAGCTATAACACCAGGCTGAAAAAAGTTGTTTAGCTTTGGAGTCAAGTGATATCCTCTTACTAGTATTTTACCCTATTAAAAGTTGTCTTTTGAATGCGTATTTTTTAATTTTAAAGGACACAAGCCACCCACTTTACATTTTTTAAATTTGACTTTAATATGGCAAGATAGCTGGATGCAAATAGGGCTGAAGACAACAAAGGGCAGAAAATACACCAGTGGGATTTTCTTCTATTATGGATGAATTGTCAACTGAATTCATAGTCAGTCTTTGCCTGTTCATCTGCAAGAGCTGACTAAGCTAATATTGGGCTTGGGATACATAAGTCAAAGAACACAATTATATTTGTCTACATAAAGACAAACCAAGTTGCCTTGATTCCAAAGTAGACAAAGCACATTGATGCCGAGTACCATTTTTGATGAGATGTGCGAAAAAGTTCTGTTGATTTGAGTAACACAGAAGAGATGCTAGCAGACATAGCCCTCAAGCCCCTGGCAAGGGGCCAGTTTCAATACCTTAGTGAGCTGTTTAAAAAAATAATGATGGAATTCAGTTTTGCATGCTTTTTGTATCTGAGCATTGGAAGCCATACATATAAAGATGGTTGATAGAGGCATTTTTTTCTGCGTCCAACTTTGCAGGCCTTTACTGACATCCCTTATAATGTGTAGATTGACTCTCAGAACAGGAATCAATTCTACTTCCTTCTCCTTTGGTTTCTGACCTGTTCTGCTCTGCTTAGCATCTTTTCTGACTCTCCCTCCGTCCAAAAATGGAGGAAAACCAATTCATATTCTAAGCCAGTGATGGCGAACCTTTTAGAGACTGAGTGCCCAAACTGCAACCCAAACCCACTTATGCATTATCGGGTGCCAGGTGGGTGTGGCCCATTGGCTGGGTGTGACCGATTGGGTGGGCGTGGCTGTGGTGGTAACGGTAGACTGGGTGGGACTAAAAAGTTCAATCAATCAATTCCAACTTTGCAAGATCTTTTTTTTCCCGCGAGAAGTTGAAATTGACTGATTGATTGAACCTTTTTTTTTTGTACACGGCGACGGAGGCCTAAAGTGAAAAGGTTTTATAAAACCCAGCTGAAGGCCTAGCACTGGGGTGAAGGCGTGCATGCCCACGGAGAGGGCTCTGAGTGCCGCCTCTGGCACCCGTGCCATAGGTTCGCCACCACTGTTCTAAGCTGTAGACATGTGGATAACTCAGGCTTTCCTAACACTTCGTTATTGGCGCAATAGAGTTTATTTCCTTTCATATCAGCACTAGCCTCAAGAATTCCTTCTACAAAATTAATTCTCCTGACTTCACACATATTTGTTCTGTTGTACAAAACCACTCTCTATACAAAACCATTTGCGGATCAACACAATTTCCATCTGCCTTGCACACATGGTTGATGGCCAGCAGTGAAAGCAAGTGTAAGGCACTGCACTGGGATAGGCTGATTATGGATGTTTCTGCCCTCTCCCCCCTTCCCATGGTCTCAAATGAATATCACTAGAACTAGTATGGTATAATGTTAAGGCTAGAAACTGCTAGATCTTGAGTCCCAGTCACCTCTTAGGTATAAAGCAAGCTGGGTGACCTTGGACCAGTCAGTCTTTCTCAGCCCTAGGAAGCAGGCAATGGCAACCACTTCTGGGAATCTTGCCAAGAAAACTGTAGGGACTACTTCAAACAGTTGCCAGGAATCAAAACTGATGTGAAGGCACAGACATGCACAGAAGAACAACAACTTGGTGCTCAAGGATTTGTTGCAGTAACAGACGCCTTTGCATGGGAGATATTCCAGATCTGGCAATCATCCCTGGATCTTGTTGTTGTTGTTAGTTGCGAAGTCATGTCCAACCCATCGCAACCCCATGGACAACATTCCTCCAGGCCTTCCTGTCCTCTACCATCTTCTGGAATCCATTTAAGTTCACGCCTACTACTTCAGTGACTCCATCCAGCCACCTCATTCTCTGTCATCCCTTTCTTCTCTTATCCTCAATCTTTCCCAGCATTAGGCTCTTCTCCAGTGAGTCCTTCCTTCTCATTAGGTGGCCAAAGTACTTGAGTTTCAACTTCAGGATCTGGCCTTCTAAAGAGCAGTCGGGGTTGATTTCCTCTAGGACTGACCGGTTTGATCGCTTTGCAGTCCAGGTGACTCATAGGAGTCTTCTCCAGCACCATAGTTCAAAGGCCTCAATTCTTTTGCGCTCAGTCTTTCTTATGGTCCAACTTTCGCAGCCATACACTGCAACTGGGAAAACCATGGCCTTGAGTATACGTACTTTTGTTGGCAGGGTGATGTCTCTCCTTTTTAGTATGCTGTCTAGATTTGCCATAGCTTTCCTCCTCAGGACCAAGCGTCTTTTTATTTCTTGGCTGCAGTCCCCATCTGTGGTGATCTTGGAGCTCAGGAAGATAAAATCTATCACTACCTCCATTTCTTCCCCATCTATTTGCCAGGAATTGAGAGGGCCGGATGCTATGATCTTGGTTTTCTTGATGTTGAATTTCAAGCCAATCCCTGGATCTACAGCATCAATTTTAACTTGTAAGCCTCCCAGAGTCACCTTGTAGAGGAGATGGGGGTATAAAAATTTAATAAATTAAATAGATAAATAAAAACCTAATATACTTTTTACTAAGTCTATGAATTAAACCCCAGGATACATCACATAACACAATTCCTGAACTGAATCTGCTTCCAGGCATCCAGGGAAGATCTGTTGAGAGTCACTATCCTTATGGTGATCCTGGGGTGTGGGTAACAGAGGCCTTCTTTGTGGCAAACACTACTTTGAAGAATGAGCTTCTCCCAGAGGTATGAGCAATGGTCACCTTGCTAACCAGCAAGTTAACCACCTATATTTGTCCCCTAACTCAGTAACTCCGGCATTGAGGGAATCTCTCTTAATTTTTAATTTTGGTGTTATGCTTTTATTTTTAGTTTAGATTTTTATTGCTGTTCAGAGTTCTCAGGATTGGGAGAGATTATGCAGAGATGGAAATAAACAAACAAGCCAACAAGCAAACCTATAGGAATCTTGAGGGAAAAAAATGCTTAATTACCAAAACCATCAGAATGGGTACTTCCCAACCTCGGATACAAAACCATGCAATATCTTTGTTTACATACTTTTCAAACCATTATTTCTCTGAAGGTTAATCATGGAAAAAGGAAATTAGCTTAATAATAAGGATTTCTCTTTGGGTAATTATTCATTGCATTCTACCTTATTTTTATTGATTAACCTACCGAGGAGAAATATGAAAGTAGTGCTATCTACTGATTTGTCATAAATGCTATTAAGCCTTGGCCTAAAAAGATGGCACTTAAAAATGAGTTTAATTAAGGAAACAATGAAGCATTTCTTTCAGATGCTTCTAATTAGCAAAGATGAGCTGACAAGATTTGGCGAATGAAACATATTTGTTATCAATACAGAAAACAAAGATTAACATAGATAATAATTTGTAATAATAATTACGATTTATACTATAGTGTATTATGGTAGTGTACATTAAAATACAATTGGATGCCTACAGTGCTGTATTTCAATGCCTTTCCTGCTTTTATTAGAAACTTTGCACCTTTCCATTACAACAGTCAGTTGTAATGGGGGAAAAAAATCTCACTAAAAAGGCTGCTTCAGCATAAAACAAAGGCTGTGTTCCATGGGACATGATTTATTCCTAATAACAGCTACAATCCTAGGATAACATGGTTGTTTAAACTTACTAGGCCTTCGAGGAATTTATGCACGCTATTGTGCATGGGATTGCAGCCAACCTAATTATTTTACTTCTACTAAGGTTTACAATTTTTCAAGAGCCTCTGAATTTCCCTTGGTCATTGATAAGGGACCTCCGGCACTTTACAGGCAGAATGGCCTTTTAACTTTCAGTCATTAATGCAAAATCCTGAAAACCAACTTGAAACTAATAAAGCCATTTGCTATTATCCACCTTGTGATTTGCATATTCTTTTTTTTTTTTTTGGGCAAAAGGGAACTTGGGAAAATGTCACTGTAAAAGCTCACTTCTGAAAGAATAGTATGGTTTTCTAAGGACAGCTGT